TGAATATTTATGCTCTCCTAGTATTCCTGCTGTGTGCCTACTGGGTTCTTTTCCCTCATCTATTTCTCTAAGCAGTATAGGACAAGACTGTTGCTCTGTATCAGAACTAATTTCTACAGCCTAATAAAATATATTTAAAATTCAGGGGGCAGCACCCAAAACCCACCCTGCAATTCAAAGTGGATTATTTTCCCCTTGCTCCTTCACAGCTTCCCACTGCCAAAGATTGCCCTGTGTCACAGACACACAGCAATCCTTTCCACCCCGAGGCTCTTAGAAGAGCTAAGGAGCCCTTTCAATGACATTACAGCTGAAAGGCCACTGTAAATCCCAAACACCAAGCAGGGCAAGTCACCAACTGCATTCCTCCTTTCAACAGTTCTAACCTATTCAGTGTTTCTTGAACAGCACCATTTTCCCAGACTATCCCATCAACGGCACAACTGAACTGCAAACAGTCCCCAGGTACTGGGAACACCTGGCTCCCTCATCTTCCCAGTCCTCTTGCCCACAGGATCGGTTTCTTAAGTATCTTTGTATATCAAAACATAAAACGCAGCAACACTTACCATGCTTCATCATCACAGTCAGAAACCGGACGATGACTTTGGAGCACGGCCTGATAAGAACCTGGCGTTTGCCTCTCTTTTCAGCATTGTTGATACTCTTGAGAGCATCAGCCAGGACATTCATGCGCACCATTATGGCTGTTCAGGAAAAACAGTAATTTTACCGTCACTGCCAGCATCAACAGGCACCCAATCATTCCACATCCTTTTTTACTGTCTCTATCACCACTAAGTTTTCCTATCTATAAGCAGGCTGGCTTCCCAGTATCCCAGCATAATATGTCAGCCAGCAAAACGAAAATATCACATGGTCGGCCAGTTCTTCAAAACGGGAGTTATGGGTCACCGACCATGTTTTCTTAACTCTCAAATCCAGCAGCACCTGTACTATGACACTGTCCTTTAAACCAACTAACTCAATGTGTCTTGCCCCATAAATGTTAAAAATAAAACGTCTTTGTACCACCTAAAATTGTGTTCAACAGCAAGCGTATCACAGTGGCAAATAGAAACATTTTACATGCACAATAATGGATCCTAGCCCAATGGGCACGAACTTCAAGAGTTCTGAAAACTTGGCCAAGCTAAGGATGGAAACCAAATCACGCTTCAAGCACCAACAGCAATGATCCAACCTGCTTCCTCAAGCTCAACCAAGTGTCTGAAAGGAAACCATAAAGCACTTACCCAGGTTAGTTCCCACTCAACTGCCACCCCAGGCAGTAGTATTTCCCGCTCAGTGTCCCCAGCCTCCCAAGCCCCCAGCGCGTCCGCAGTAACGCACGCCCCACGATGGCCACCGTCCCCGATGCTTCCCGCCGCCCGGAGCCAAGGCGCTGCCTCACCCACTACGAGGAGATCCTGACGCCGCCGACCGAACCGGGACTACCACCTTTCCGGGCGGTCGCAAGCTCCGGTCCCCGCAAGCGCTGTGGCCTGTGCTCTGTAAGCCAGCTCCCCATGGTACTGAGCGTGGGGCCACCGAGCATGACTCTCCCCTACGCCTGCCCAGGCCCCCTCAAGGGCAGCATCCCCAGCCCAGACAAGCCCCGGCATCCTCGCAGAGCACAGAAGTCGAGTCTCAGACTGCAGGATGGCGACGATAGCCGACGGATGACGCCGGATGGCTCACACAGAAGTACTCACCGGCACGAAAAGATGGCGGAAAGAGGACGGGAGGGGCAAGCCCACGGAGTTATGGGAAGAGAGCACGCTATCGCGAGATCTTCAAAGCACCTCCGGGAGGGAGGGAAAGGTTGCTTGATGGAAGGAGGCGGGTAAAGGGCGGAGCCTCTTCAGGGGTGGGCAATAGAGAGTCGATAAACTCGACCTTCCCCGGTGAGACCATGCGTACAAAATAGAGGTAAGGCCGTAGTCTAGTTCGGGGTTCCACGCCCTTTTAGCGCTTAAACTGTAAGAACAAAAAACTGACAACAAGGGCCTAGATAGTTGCTAATTTTTATTGCACGAACTGTTCACCATTTAGAATAAATTTTGATATTGCGTATGTATAGTGTCTCTGGCGGGACCTACAGAAATCGGTAATCCCTTCTGGGGATTCCATTAGGAACTGGGATAGAAGACGTGCTTTTCTTCCTATACAGTTTTGTTTTGTTATTTGAAAGATGTATACATTACATTTTCAAAGCAGTCAAAAATGTTTTTTGACTCTCTCTAAATGTTAGAAATTATTTACTAGGGCTCCAGACTTTTCTTTCGAGTTCTGGGAAACACAGTTTGGAAGAAAGCCACAAATGTTTCGAAACACTCAGGATTGCGATCCAGTGGCTTTTTTCTCCTCTTCTGCACCCGGAAAAGTACCAGTTTGTATGTCTCGTATCCTCTCTGAACTTTCCCCAGATATAAGCCAATTCCTGCCTCTTAAAAGTTATTTTGAGAGTCAGATGAGATAATGGTGACAACGGGCTCGCACAACATTTGTCACATAGTAGATGTTCAATATATTTTGGCAACCGAAAGAGCTGGGAGTTGTAACTACTGCTTGAAGCCCAGGCGTCTAATCACTACCTCCTCCTGGAGCTGCATGACCTTGAAGCTAGTTACCCATTGCCTCCTTATTTCACTGCTTGCACGTTTACCCCACTCTCATCCATCCTCGCCTTATGGCAGTCAGGAAGACCTTTCCAAAACTGAAAGTCACATCATTTACTTTCCGAGGGCTCCTATCAAATACAAATTCCTTGCCAAGTTTACAAGGTCCTCCCTGAAGTGCACACCTGCCGCCTTGCACCACACCAGACCTCATGAGAAGTGTATTTATTTTGTCCACATTACGTTCCAAGCAAGCAGGGACTTGGTTTGCCCACCACTATACTCTTAGCTACCAGAGAGAATATCTGGCTCATAGTAGTCCTTGGAGATAGACAGGTACATAGATAGATATAAAATGAATGGGCAAATCATTTTCCCCATCTGTAAAATGGGGATGATATTACCAATCACTTGAATTTGCTGTAAGGATAATTCATAAAAGAGATTAATACAAAATCTGGCAGAGTGAAGCTCATCAATTTAACATTTTTTAGTATAAAGCCTCTGCCTACAACACCTCACTTCTCAAATCCTCAGTGAACTGCAGGAAAGCAAAGCTCCCAATTTGGATATCTCAGCATATATAAATCTCTGGTTAAATATACATTACAAAAAGAACCACTTGCTTTTTAAATGAAAATTTCCTTGAAGAACTGGTTCCCCTGCACTTACGTAAAAAAAAGGTTTTTTTACTAAGAATGTGGAGTTCACCTTAATTAAGGGCCTTAGCAACCATGGGGAGTTAAGTGAATAAACCCACTTCAAGAGCCTTACCATAAATAGAAAAAATAGCACCATCCACTATCTTTTTTTTTCCAAAGATTTTTTGAGAGGGGCAGGGAGAAAGGAGAGAAACATCAGTGTTGTTGTTTCTCATGTGCCCCCTACTAGGAACCTGGCCTGCAACCCAGGTAAGTGCCCTGAGTGGGAGTTGAACTGGTGACCCTTTGGTTCTCAGGCCAGGACTCAATCCACTAAGCCACATCAGCGAGGTCCCATTCACTATCTCTTTATACACTTCTTCCATCTATTCATTGAACAAACACCAAAATATCATGTGCCACATTAAGAGGGGACAAAAATATGTTCCTGCCCTTAGGAGGTGCAGATCACAGTAGGGGAGACAGAACTCTAAATAACACACTATACGGGGCAGTATGCCATATAGAAATGCAGATGTGGCCTGGGATGTTGCTAAAGCTCTGAGAGGAAGAGCAATTTGATCTGTTGCTGCAAATGGTACTAAGAACCACCAATTTTAACAGCCACTGTTTCCTGTAGATTAATTTATTGAATTATCAGAATAAATGTGATTATATAGTGCCCCATAAGATCTATACTGTTATCCCCATTTCAAAAATTAGATGAAGTTCAATCTTAAAATTTTTTTAGCTTTAAAAATCAAAGGGAAAAAAAAGTGGCTACTAACTTGTCTAAACTACTAGACAACTTGGTGGGGCTTGGATCTAGGTCAGCCTGATCCCAAAACGTTTGGGTGTATGGGTAGTAGATACAGTAGGCTTGTAACAGCTCCAAGAACTAGGAGGGCATGGAATAAAGATGAATAGAACCCATAATGGCTGGGTTGGAATTGGGAAATAGGGTAGAGGAGTTGAACTAGAGGAGGGCTATGTATAAAAAAACTGCCTTGTTTACAAGTTTGAGATTTATGCTATCGGCAAACTGGAGCCTGCAGAGAGGGCTCCAAATAGAACTGATCATGATCTGATTGTTAAAATAAATGGCAACCATGTAAACAATGAGTGGGCATTAAATCACCTCTCCTAAAAACTTTTTGGCACAACTTCAAATGGCCCTCTTGACATTTTGTGAACTCTGGGATGACAGGACCTCCACTGGAGGTGATGGCAAGGGAAGTATCAAAAAGGGACTTAGTTGCTGTGGCCAGAGCTGGCACACACAAGGGTAGCCAGGCTGGCTTGGGAAGAAAGCTAGCCAGTGAGACTAGCCTGAGATGTAATCACAGCTTCATGGTAGAAATCCATGAAAGAGCAATTTGATCTGTTGCTGCAAATGGTACTAAGAACCACCAATTTTAACAGCCATTTCAAAGTATCAGGCGACCACATGGTGACTATGGGTTGAGACTTCCCTTTTCTGGGTATTACCAAATCCCCCAGGAGGCTCCAAACAAAAATCCATCCTTTTTGGGGAGTGGGGATGGGGTTTGAGGGGAGGGGTGGTCTCAGAATTTAATTTGATAATCTGTTCCCAGGATCCACTAAGTTTAGTTGGTAAGGACCAATGATAAAATGTCCAATTTGAGCTCTAATGTAAAAAATCCATCAGATCCATAAAACCACCCACATAAATACTGTACTGGCTGCTAAAGTAAAAAGAAAGGACACAAAAAGGGATTCCAGCTTTTATTTTTCCCCTTTTCACAAAACAAAAGTATTAGAAATAACAATACAGGATTAAAACCACAAAAGTAGTTAAATTAGTAGACCATGTATACAAGAAAAAAAAATCCAGGTAAGACAATAGGCTTATATACAATGAGGAAACACATGTAAATTAAGGTAGTTTATAGTCTTCATATGAAACATTAAAAAAATCAAACATATGCTACATGGGTGCCACCGTTTACACCAATATTGAAGGGGAGAAAACAACACTTATTTAGGGACAGATATATCATACCACAAAGTCCAGGTTTTATAGCATCAGTGCAATAAATTCACAGAACTATATTACAGCTAATTAATTAGAATTTAAGACCTGTTCCCAAATACGTCACATTTTTGGCCCTTAGAGGTTTATTCCACAGACTTCAACTACTCTAAACTTCTAGCTACTAAGAGGGAGAATGACTCAAAGATGCTCCCCAAGAGTTACAAAACCTCTATAGACCCAAGGCCCTCCCCAAGTTTGCTCTCACCAACAGCCCTTGTATTTTTCAGAGAAATATCTAGGGGAAAAAGTCAGATGCCAGTGTAGTCACCACCTCCTAGGCCAGATCTACAGGGACCAAAGCAGCCAACATTACCATAAAATGAAAATTGAAAAATAAGTAGGAAAAGATTATTAACTGAATTTTGACAAAACACAGGAAGACTTTTGTCCTTGATTAGCTGGTCTTGGAGTAAAAGTCATAGGCACAAGTCTTCATCTCTTACATACTTTAGTTTTAGACAGCTGAAAATCTGAAATTAAAAGTATGCTAAAAATCCTAAATCCAAGCCTTTAGAAGCTTGCTATTAAAAAGCTTTTAAAGACCAACTAACTTGGAGGCTAAGTGCAAGGGGACAAGGGCTCTAAGCCTGTCAGATTCCCCATTTTGGAGGAAGAATCACTATTTTCTACAAATTGCTAAGTTTTACACAAGGGAGAAATCAACATATACTAGCACGTGTAATTAGTTTAATTTTATTCTATGAGGATTCTTCTCCCATGGCATAGAAACAGAATGAGGAATGAATTTTCATTGGTCTCTTCATAGGAAGTGGAAATCTTGGTCTTTTATGTTCATGAAGCCAGAGTTTTTTAAGAAGACTGGAAGTAGGGAGTAGAACCAGTTTTTTGTAGCCACAGGCCACCACTCCTTATATCTAGCAAGCAAAGATCAACTCGAACAATTATCCAAGTCACTGCTAACTGTACTAAAGGGTGAAATTCACCACTATTTTATTTTAAAGGAGGTCACCTACAAGTAAGAACTCAATTAACCTTGGGTAAGAAAAATCAAAACAAGTTATATTCATGAATGAGTTGTCCACATAAGGCCAACTGATGACAATGCAACCAGATACACTTGACATGAAGATACTATGTATAAAAGCCTTATGTGGCAAGTCTGAATTTCTAGTAACTAAGGGCAGAAGAAGTGAGAGCAAAGGATTACTTCTAACACTTTAGTATCTAGATAATAGAAACTGTTCCCAAGGACAATCAATGTACACACATGTACACATGCCATTAATCACACTGGATGGAGAAGATGTGTTATTCATTTTTCTTTTCTTTTTGCTTAAGAAGCTTGTTCATCTCCCTTTTGGCCATTCCAAAGTACTTCGAAATGACTCCATGTTGGTTTAGTCCAGGAAGCAACAGTAAGAAAGTCACTTAAAAATAAACAAACAAAATTAGGGAGGAAGCAATTCACTTCTTAAATCATACTACATGCTAGAGAAGGTGGTTTCCCAGACTATTAGGCATTCTAATGGGAGGAGGAAATAGGAAGTCTACTACTTCTGTTGATATTTATCTCCAGAAACTTTGGCTATCATAGCTCCCAACCTCAGATGACACAGTATTTATTTTTACCTCCTGCACATTTCTTTCTACCCTGGTTATTATGTTGTCTTAACCTCCTGCAAGAGCACAAGCTCCCTGCAAACAAGGACCTGAGTTTTAGTCATCTTTTTAGACTCCCAGTTTCCTGTTCAGTGCCTTAAACTTGGTAAGCTAGCACATATTTGTTTAACTAAGTTCCAGTTAGACTTCACTGCGCAGGATGTGCCTGTGTCCTCCAAGACTTACCTATCAGGTAGGTAAGAAGAAGGTTGTGGACCTGCTGTCCCACCCAAGCAACCGCAGCAAGAGAAATGATCATGGTCATGAAGTACTAGTAATAAAAATAATAAGAATGTATCAACTCCTAGAAACAGACTAAGAAGCATAACTTTAGAAGGTTGTTTCAAAGATTGGCAAATGATTCAGTTTTATTACCACTTTTCTTTAAAAATACTTAGTACCTATATATTATATAGGACCCACAGAAAGCTCTATTAGACCTGCTTTATAGAATTTGGATACATGTCCTCCTAGAACTACTGTAGTTCTATATTTAAGTTAAATAGTTCATAATAAATAATACTACTTTTACAATTAATAATGCTACATAGTAACTTTATTTGAAGCTGAATTAAGAAAACAAATGCTTTCTAAGTATATGTTTTTTACTTTATTTCAGTAAAAAAAAAGAAAGATTTCACTCTACTAGAATACAAATTAAATATAAAATGTATTTTTTAACTTCTGGTGACTCAGTCTAATGCAGATATGCATTTATGAATGTACTCAAAGGAATTAAACCAATGGATAATAAATATCAAAATACAACTCTTCAAACAAAAAGGCTATCATTATATTACAATGAAGTAAAAACTGACTCAATCTTAAAATTTTGCTTTACTCGAATAAATCAAAACAAAAAAGTACCATTTTTGGCTTTTCTTCCTTTAGTGTGAAGAGGCGTTTCCACCAGCCCACAGCTCTGCGTCGAGTTTTTACTAGAGTGCTGCAAATTTCATGGAATCTTTGCTGCTGCTCAGTGGTCCTAGAAAAAGAATTTCCCCCTTCACTATAAGCAAATCTCTATAGCCAACAGAAATACACCCTCCTCTCATATTTAAAAAGCTACCTTCTGAAGAAAATCTAAATAAAAAACACCCATGAGTCGTCATTATCTTACAAAAGTGAAAAAGTTCTTATACCATTAAGACACCTTAGATGGCACAAGAATAAGTTTTTACATAAACACACAACTCCAGTTGTGAGTGTGTTTATGTACAAAGTAATGGTACTCTATGGCACTAAAGCCACATTTTGTTAATGACAGTAACAAAAGACTCATACAACTATGGGCTGTGTAGAAATCAGTATAAATTAATTTCTTTATTGCTATATTATTTTTCAGATCCTAATGAGTGAATCCTGGGTTGTAGCCCACCAGAGCCCCACTATTTTGAAGAAGATATGATGTTTCTACCAAACAGCTCTATGTGAGCACTTTTCAGTAAGACAGTAACTACCAGCATTCACAGCATTAATACCTTCAACTGGGCTTAATACATTTGATGCCAGGGCAGTAGCAACACACAACTCCAATCTAAGTTTAGTCCCACTGAGAAATAATATAATCATAAACAAAACAGCAGTAAAAATACAACAAGATCCTCCAAGAAAGCACTTTTTTGTTTATAATTTTTTTTGTGGGGGGGAGAGCATTCTGATAGAAATTGCTATTGTACTGTCTTTGCTACATGGCTATAATGGCTGCTATTAAAAAGCAAGCTCTTCGCTGGGGGATATATTGTCTTCTCTCCTCCAATTCTCAACCCTGTGAAACTGCAGTGAAAGGTACAGTAGGAGGATTTCTGCTGAGTCCTGGAACTTCTTGCAAACAATTCGACCTTCTGTGTTGCCTGTAGTCAAGGCTGATTATGGCTATGCAACAATGTCCTTCCTTCCACATAAGGATTAAAAAGTCAAACTTCTCTGTTGTAAAGACCAAGCCACATACTGATTACCATGAAACTCAGTGTTTGTTTCTGAAAACTTCTCTCTAGAAATTATAAAGTAGCAGATTAGAATGCCAGCTGGCTAATAAAGTCAAGGTCAGGAGTTGGTTCTCTTTGTTAAATTTTTATACTGTGTGATTACAAACTTACCTGAAAAACAGCAGCATAATTCATTACTGCACGTGAAAAAAATTTCAGTTAAGAGGACATTTTCTAATACTACCCATTCTGCTATGGGGGAAAACATCTTTAAATAAATATACTTAATTATCCCATAACTTAAGCAAATTCCCTCAAAACATCTGAATTTTTCTCAGAGACCCAAGGGCTTTCATTTGAAATTCTTCCTTTTAAGAATTATTTTATAATTTGCTATTATCAGGGAAACAAAAAGCTAAAGGCACAAGTAGAATAATCAAGTTAAACAACTGAGGGAGAATAGCAACTGGGAGGGAAAAAATCTATTTCAATGCCCAGTTCTCATTATTTGGATGAAAAGTGAGAAATGCAACATTACGGAGAAGTTAAAATACTTTAATGTGCTCCATAGCCACTTAACTATATCTTGGGAACTCAGTAAGTTACTAATTCAAAGAACAGTATAAATGAAATCAACAACCCACTTGTATGTACAACTTGAACCTATTCTGAAGCACTTGCTATGCATTTAACTACCACTGAACTGCCTCAATATTCTCAACCTTAAACACAAGACCAATCTTAAAAATCAAAATAATTCACAGCATCCAGAATAGCGCCGAACATAAAAGTAGACATTCAATAAATAGTTCCTAAATGAATGGACAAAAATCTACCAGTTATTGTTTTCATATTCATTCAAGAATAACTTGTGAAATTAATATACTATCTTAAATATCAATTAAAATAAATATAAAATATAAATGTACTACTTTTATGGAAAGCTCATATGAGTTCTACAATCTTCGATAAAATGTTACCTAAAAAGAAAGAAAAAACCCCCCTCTTCAATAAAAAGGTCTAGAAAGGAAAAAAAAGGAAGTCAAAATAAAAGACCATAAAAGACCAATGGAGATATATAAGTACTGGAAATTCATTATTTATATACAAATCAGCTAAAATACTCTTTATATAAAAGCAGTAACTCTAACCCTAAAGTATCTGATGGTTAGACAGTTCTCTGTGATAAATTACAGGGTACTAACCACAGCCAACAGGGTAACTTCTCAGAAATAAGAATGTCAAATTATCATGCCACCTACCATTTATTAGAGCCAAAAATTCTAGGCGCTAGAATGGGAACAAAGTAGTCAGCCAAGCACAAAAACATAACAAAACAGGAAACACCGGACAGAACAGATGGATCTAGACCATAGATAGTCCTGTTAAAAAAAAAAAAAAATAAAGGTTAGAAAAACATAGTCATTATTCCTCAGTGAAGATGTTTATTCACTTAGTTCTCTGGTTCTCATAGATGTTACTTGCCCTTTTCAATCTAATTTTCTCACAAGTGGTTTTCTGGAAGCTTCATGACATGACAACATCATAACTGCAATGCAAATACCAAGAGAAAAAAGCTCTTTAGGGTCTTCAATACTTTTTAAGAGTGTAAAGTGTTCTAAGGCCAAACGGTTTAAGAGTCACTGATTTATTCAACTGCATAATGTTACCGAGTTCATAGAAGTACTACAAATCCTAAAAACTAGGCAAACTGCTCTAAGAAAAGGCATTCTTTACAGATTATACTTTACAAAAGATTTAAGACATTTCCATAAATGGAGGCTGTGTATTACTTGAGCCCTTATTAATACGCACAATCTTTAGTAATTGAATAGCTCACTTACAGAAACACCAAAGAAACCACACCAACAATGGCAGGTGGAAACCAGGGTCTTTCCCATCGGAGGATTTTATCAGCCATCAGCATCACCTCTCCCCATCCTTGCAGCTGCTCTTCCAGACTTGCAGTCTCTGCAGCCTATATATGATCAACATTTAAAACCATTATTTTACTACTCTCAACATTTCTGTGGTTCCTAGAGAGTTAAGAGTTAAGCCACCAAGTATAAACATAGCTGTTAACTAAATCACTATTTTAAACGTTAGTTTCTAAAAACTACAATTTTGGTACCAATGACAGAAATCAATGCAGGGGGGGAAAAAAACCCTATTATTTACTGGTCACCTTTCACATCTAAGAACTGGACACTCTACATAAGATAGGGATAATTAAGACCCATTTTACAATTAAAGAATAGTTAACTTTCCCAAAGTCATGCTCTACCAAGCACAGTCCCCAGATCACTTTATATTCACTCATTTCAGGTGGTTGGAATTGATCTGTTTTGTCATTTCATTGATTTAAACCCCTACTTCCAAGTCCATTAGAAAAGCCTTTCCCCGAACAGCACTCAATTTCTAAAATAGCTCTTTGTGTAATGGAATCATTTAGATGTTGACATCACTTGCACAATTAAGGAAAACTACTTTTCCTCTATATATGTTTTTATTTTTCCTCTACAGCGCTTCTTACACTTAGCAGGACATTTTGATTAGACTTCAAATCTCTCTGAAAAGCTGACAATTTGACTTCTAGGATGGGCTAATGTGGCATAAAGCCCTTCGGCTGGTTTTGGTATAGGAAAAGAAACTGGAACAAAAAAATCCATGTGTCCTTATAAATGTCTCAGGAAGATATGCAAATGACAGTGGACAGTGCTTTCTGTGCCACACTGATCACCCAGGTGACCTCAACATTTCTGACTTTATATACCAGGCTTAAGTCTTTAAATAAAAGATTACTATGTGAAAGAGTATCTGCTAAGTGTTTCATATGCTTATACTTTAATCATCCCAACAAGATTAAAAAAAGGTGTTACTATCCTTATTTTACAGATGAGGAAACTGAGATACATAGAAGTTAAAGATCTAAATACAGGAAATCCAAGGCCAAGGGCCTTGTTCTCCTTAAAGTTACATTGCTCTGCTGTAAAGGGTATTTGAGCTCCAGACCAGGACCTGTCATTTCCATAGCCGTGTGAACTCTAGCAATTTCTTTGTGCTCTTAAAAGGATCAGGGAGGGAACTAACTGTGCTCACTACGGTGGCGGGGGGCGGGGAGGGGGGGGGGACGCCTGTGTGTTTGGCAGGTCATGCATTTCTAAAAACAAATGCACACACAACAAAACTGCCCTGCAAAGCCCCTGAATTCCTTAGCGCCTGGGTATTGGGAAACCAAAAATCAAAAATTAAATTTTTTGCTCCTTCTATTCATTGTGGTTGTGGTGTGTGGCCTGCCTTTTCCTGTGGAAAGGCAATGGAGAAAATGCATGGATTTCTCTCGTTTTTGCCTAGAGCGTGCTGTGAAATTCGTAATGAGCTTAAATTTGTCCCCCTGTGACACAACCCCATTTCAGTTTCTTTGGACCTCTGCTTATTCTAAAGTCGTCCTGTGACTCCCAGACTTAGGAATTCCAGGCAAACGCCTGGGCCTCCCATTGTCCATCCAGCTGGACCCCACTTCCCACTTCTCTACGATGAACTCGCTGCCTCCTTGCCGTTTTAAGCTATGCCAGCTCTAACAGAAATTCTCAGCAATTCCCTTTGATCCTCCACACCTGACCAAGTGTGGGGAAAAAGAACGGAGGGCATCCTGGTTAAGATCAAAGCGGGTAAATTCGGACACGACCGGGGCCTAGGCCCCAAATGCGCTAGACAGTCACCTCGCAGTCCTCTGCCCCAGGCTACACTCAAGGTTTGTCACCGTCCCCCTTTTTCTCACTTCCTCCTCAACTGGTATTCACGATGACTGATCACGTGCCCTCCTCGCCACTTTCCAAGGGTTTGTTAGGGGTCGATACGGCTAGAGACCGCCAAGCAGAAGCTACCCAAGAAGCCCGAGGGGCAGGCATTGTCGCCTGCGCCTGGAAAACAGGAGAGAAGGGCCGGGGCCAACGCGGGCTGCAGACACGAGGCCGCAGCTCCGCCCGATCGAGCCCACAGAAATACAGAGGCCCTGCTCGTTTTCCCCGTGACGCGGCGCTGACACTCACCAGCAAGCTAGTGCTACGATTATCTCCTTCTGCCATCATCCCCAAGGTGCCGCTTCACTGAGTGTTGGCCAGCCTCCTCACGCGACTTCCTCCTAGATCAGCACACCAACCCCAACGCGACGACACACCCAGCAAACCGCTTATATAGGCCGACCGCCTTTCCCGACAGGCCCCGCGAAGCCCGCTCCTCATTGGACATATCGAACCCAAGCTCTGGGAGAGTAGGACCAACCGCTGCCTAGCGCTGGACTTGAAATCGAGGTCAAAGGAGACAGAGGCCGCGCAGGACTGAGGGGGCGGGGACACAGAATGACCAATCAGCGGCGAGGCGATGTGCACAGCCCCGCAGAGGCCTTTCGAGAGCGGTTGAACCGTCGCAGCTCTCTGCTTCGTGTGGCTTCAGTTTCCCCAGGATTGGCCGCCACGGTATCTCATGGATCTTCTGCTGAACCTCAAAGCAGCTAAGGAGACTCTGAAATTTAGTTCTCGAAGAAATAAGCTACGCAGTATCAGACAGAGATGGGCATGTTTCCCTAACCTTGCTGTGTCCCTAGGCGGCCTAATCCCTGCTCTGGCCGCAGGTGTCTGCCCAGATTTGTAACTGTGACTCGTGCCCACCTCCTTAAATTTTGAGCTATTTATGTGGGTTTTCTGCTGTTTCCTCCTTACCCATTAGGGAAAAGGCCTTAGCTTGATTGCAGGGGTGGAGGGACGGGGATAGGGCCAGACAGGTCTGGGCTTAGTTTGAGAGCTCGTGAAAAATGCACCGATTTATAAAAATGGCTAATACAGGGGTCTTTATGGAGCACTTGAGTTAGTAAACTAGGCGCTCCCTCTCCAAAAGTGCTGGTGTTGACAGAACCCTCCTGACATCTGGGATCATACTAAGGAAATAGGTAAACCCTCTCATGAGCCGTGAAATTCCTAAGCAATTTAGGATCTAGATGAACTGTGCTGAGGCACTTCTCTTCTTCTCTCTCCAGGATTAACAAGTGCTTTGCTTTTTATTCAAAACAAAATCATGCCAGATGTTCACCTACCTGGTCAGATGTCTGTTTTAGGAAAATTTACCAAGCTTGTAACTTACTGCTTTTTATCCTTTTATACTTATCTATATTACACCATCAAATTTAAATGTTTTAAAATCGCTCCTTAGATAACTACCAGGTTCTTAAGAGTTTAGAGAAGGCATAAAGAAATGTGAGAGAATATAGCTACAGACCACAGAAAGTCAGGGGGACAGGAGCATTATGAATTTCAAGAAACGGTAGTGTTGACAGGAGACCTGGTGGTTCTTGCCGTTGCACGTAAAGGATTACAGATCAGCAAATCCATTAGTGTGCACCCAGGGTTTATTAGTGATCTGTCCCCGTGGAAGAGAATCGGTTTGGCTAAGTTTTGGGGTAGGGGTGCTACCAGGGAGGGTGAAAGGGATAGGTTCAGGGCAAAACAGGGCAGCAAAAGGCCAGCGTGGCAAGCCCCAGGGTGGCCACAGCCAAGAGAGGGAGTCCTTTGTTCAGAAAACTTATATAGTTGGCGGTATGGTAGTAAAAAAGTTACATATTGGTTGACAGGTAAATGTGCCAGCTTTAGGGAGCAGGAGGGGGAGGACTAAGTATGTGTGGGGGTCTGTTAGCCCAAATTCTTACCTTGCTTCAGACTCCATTTGTTCATCTTGTAAAACAGATACATGACAGGAGGCAATTAAAGTTGGAGTAGTTACCCAAAGTTACTTATGGGCTCCTTCTTTAGGTATTAGGGACTCCCTGGTAACACAGATAGTGACCAGAGGTAGGCAATTAACCAAAGTTGTTTTATGGGCTTCTTCGGGCACTGGATCCTCTGCCACTTTTCAGGCCTTGGAATGAGTAGTTTTAAAGGCTTTCTTTCTCAGATGGTGGAAATGATACGTAGAAGTTCAAGGACTTCCCCCCCCCCCCATGCTAATCTTGTGATGTTAGAACACCTGGCAATATTACTGGACCAAAATCAGGACTGCTGAGTTAGTGGGCTAGACATGTCTCCCTCCTCCCTGCCCTGCTTTGCCATTCATTCTACCTAAGTGCTAAAAGGCATTTCCTGGCAATCAGGATGCTAGATGTTGAGCAGTAACAGCAAAGCAGTCCAAGTTATTCCTATGTTATCTCCTTGCCTCAGGAGGATCTTTGGAAAATAAAGCACCTGGATCAGATACAAACACTTGATTGGGGGCAGAAGAGGAAGCCTTTGCAAGGGAAAGGGACTCTTCAATAAAGTGCTACTTTGGGGGACTATTGGGTGGAAAATGGGTTATGTAGGTAACATGCAGCAAACTGATCCAGAGACCCCATACTGGGAGATTTTAAAGCTATGAAGTTTGAGGGGCAGGCCCTCCCCTGCTTCTCCAGAAGAAAAAGGTCCCAAACAATCAACAGCCATGTAATTAGTGAATATCCTGAGCACTGAGTGCAAATTTTGCTATTAGCACAGTAACATCTACTTTCAAATGAGACGCCACAGCATTATTAGGCTTTGAAAAGTGGCATTTCTAAAAACATACAAAACCCCCCTTGACAGTTCTACTTTGGAAAGTACGTCCAGTTTTCACCCAAGTTTCCCTATGAATAACTCAAGAAGGAAAACTTTCGACACTTGTGAAATTGAGGTAGGTGAAAAAAAATGGAAGCAGCTCAAGCAAGTTTCTCCAAAGACTCTGTTTAAGGAAGATGTTCCCAGAGCTATTGCGACTTCACAGCCCAGGAGCACTATAAGATTTCTAACTAAACTTTACAATTGGCCTAATTAAAAGAACAAAACCAACCCTTAGTGTAGCTTTGAACTTTGTTTTTGTACTACAAAAACAGGATGTGACGTTTTAAAAGTACCAGACGACAGCAACAAATGCAATGACTTTCACACAGTAAAGCAAACTGGACATTTTAATTTTTCTTCAGGCCTTTATACCCCAAGAAATGTGTATGTCAGTAATGTTGTTCTGTAGTTTTAAATACTGACAAAATTAAGCATAATTTTATCTATTAATAACTTTCCCACTGAAGTAAACTTTCTACTGCTGTTCAAAACTACTTTAGAACTTGAGGGTAGAAAAATTATTTTGAACATTTTCTAGAGGCATTGATGCTTTAAAAAAAAAAAGGTATGCATATTGCAAATTTACATTTTCTGGCAACTACTTCAACCAATAAATTCAGAGCTTAAATGCTATGTCTTTTAAGACTTTATTTTTTTTTTTTGAAAAACAGGTATTTAATACAATCTTTGCCATGTTAATGCAAATATGCACAAAGTAGGCATGTATTTTTGTTTTCCAAATGATGCATTATGAACATTTTCAGGAAGCTGGTGTGATTTATTGAACTTTTAATCTTAAATACAATCACAAAACTATATCCATCAGAAGGCATTACAACCTTTTGTACAGAGAAGCCACTTTAATTTGTACAATGTTTACTAGGACAAGAAAGATTCAATTTAACTCAATTTGCTCTTATAATAAGGGTAAAGTAAATTAACAAGTGAAGTATGATGTTGCCACTGACATTACAGGTAGAAATATAAGGGACATTTAAAACAGAAAAGTAACTAACACAAGAACTTTAAATAGGAGCTGAAAGTGGGACTATCAAGAAAAGAGGAAAAAAATCAGCCTGTTTTGAAAGAAGAAAAACAGTCTACAAGCCTGCATTTCAGAACATGCAATTCCTTAAGTTTACCATTTTCAAAAATCAAGCTAATTGTATGACATTTTTACATTAGCACAACCAACACCTTTTCTCTAGTAAGCCCAGTTAAATCCCATTAAAGCAAGACTCTAAGCAGTTCATGTCGTACAACTAACCCTTGAACGTATAAAGCTGCTCTAAGAGTCCATTTGCCCATTTGAAAGGAAGGGATAGTGATATTGTAATCCAGGTCTAAAAAATAGGAAAACTGCAACAAACCCTTAGGGGTTTTTAATACAGTGAACTTCCCCTTCCCCAGTGTTTGGAAAAATTTGTAATGCTAGTTTCTCCCCATAGTAGGAATCTTTCTAATACAACTCAAATACTGAAAACATCTACATTCTTTAAATGACCCTTAAATTATATTCTACCTCCTTGATTTAGGGGGAGAAGGGGCGTTCTATCTTTAAATTACTGGCATTTTACAAGCTCCAGAAAAGAGAATGGAAGGTCACTGGTTCCATATTTACCTAATTTTAAGTAACACAATGGTAATGTGCTAATAGTAAAGCATTCACTGATTTTTGATGTACATGAAAAGGACTAACAGGCTAACTGTAGGTGTTTTCTTTAATATGAAAAAAATTGGGACAAAAGAAGAACCAGCTCCTTACTGCCAAAACAAGCCCAGAATAATTACAAATATGTGGAGGAAAATAGGCCAGGAAGACTTTTCAGTTTAAAGTACTGCCTATAATACCCCAGACTTAAAAGAACCTAAGATTGCACATCAACTCTAATATTTGGCTGTACTTGCATTGCCCTGCGTGGCATTTTTTAAAATGGCTCTTTCCTTAAATTTCACACATCAGAACAACCACAAAACAATGCAGAAAAAAACCAAACATTGGACAATATTTTAAAAACTACACACTAAACTTAGCTAATAGAGGCAAGTGTTAATGGCAGAAATGATGGAAGTTTTTCTTTGTATTACAAACCCTCACCCTGAACAGGGGTTCGGGCTCTTAAAAAAACAATTTAGGGAAGCAGATCAAGAGCTTGATTATCAGTTCTCAAAGAAATCTTACATATCTCAAAAATAACTCACAAATGTCAGACACAAAAAAATCTGAACCATCCAGCTAACTGTTAAGAACTCATGACCAGAAATAGTGTTAAGACACACCAAAGAAATACAGACAGCTCCATAAACCAAGCTTCCACAGCTTTGTAGAGAAATCAACTAATATTCAGGCAATTCTAGAAAATTGAAGGCAATAAAACACTCCAGAAAAACTTCAGTTTGCAGGGGTACACTGAATTAGAAGTTGTGTTATCCTGTACCCCATGACTGTTAAGAGAAAGAGGGAGGAGAGCTGACCCCTGGTTTTCCATAGGTATTTTGTATCATTAAAAATGTAAGATTTCAGAGGCAGCCCTGGCTGCG